TTTACTTTGGTGGTGTTAAGGACAGAAACATTTTTCCCTACCCTTATTTCATTTATTTCTCCAAAAGTTATGGGTGACTTGGGTTCAATACTCAAGATTTTCTGAGCTTCACACAGTCTGGTGTGTGTGCCATCTAACCGTGATACTGTCCGATCTTCCTACAACAGAAGCTGCTTCTTGTCATTCTTTCCCTTTCTTTTTTTTTGTGAGGAGATCAGCCCTGGGCTAACATCTGCCAATCCTCCTCTTTTTTTGCTGAGGAAGACTGGCCCTGGGCTAACATCCGTGCCCATCTTCCTCTGCTTTATATGGGACGCCGCCACAGCATGGCTTGCCAAGCAGTGCATCGGTGCGCGCCCAGGATCCGAACCGGCGAACCCCGGGCCGCCGCAGCAGAGCATGCACACTTAACTGCTTGCGCCACCGGGCCAGCCCCATTCTTTCCCTTTCAACGCTGGGGTTTCTCTTCACTGCTCTATTGAGCTGCAGCCTGCGTGCTGGATCCCCTGATGGCATCTTCCTTGTTTACTTGTTTGGCTAGAGCACACCCTCAAGTTACTTCTCAAGGAAAGGGCATGTGGGAGGTAAATTTTCTCAGTGTGTATGCCTGAAAATGCCTCTGGAGTGTTCTACCCTGTGATACTCTCGGGGGCATTGGCAAGGATCGACTTCTGGATTGAAAATCTTTTTCCTAATTACTTATGATGTTTCACATGTTTTCCTGTGCTTATTGACAGTTTGTTTTCTTTCCTGTTCAGATATTTGCCATTTTTTAAAAATTGGATTTTGTTGTTATTATAAGCTTTGAGAGTTTTTAAATATGTCCTGGATACAAGTTATTTGTCACATATTTGTATCATGAATGACTTTTCTCCCAGTCTGTGGCTTGTCTTTCATTTTCTTAATGGTATATTTCTAAGAGCAAATGCTTTTAATTTTGATTAAATCCAGGTTATCAATTTTTTTCTTTTATGATTTTGTGTCCAGTCTAAGAAATGTTTGCTTTCCGTATGTTTTCTACTTTTGATTTTTACATTTTGTTCTATGATCCATTTCAAATTATTGATGTGAGGTAATAGTCAAGATTTCTTTTCTCTCATGTCAGTATATGTGGAAATATACAGTATATATTATTTTGTATTTGTGGTGATCCGTCTCCTAGATAGAGTCCTGGAAAAAGGATTTCTGGATCGAAGGCTGATTTTATTATACATTGCCAGGTTCCTGTCCGTAGGTGCCGTATCATTCTTAGTCCCACCAGAAATCTAGGAGACTGTGTTGATTTGCCCACAGCCTCACCAGCAGAGAGTATTCCAAGTTTTTAGATTTTTTTCAGTCTGCATGTGAGAAATAGTATCTTAGAGTAGTTTCCATTTCTCTTATTATAAGTGCCACCTCTGATTTGTTAACAAGTCACGCACATTTATTGTGATTAAATATGAGTTTGGACTTATTTTCATCATCTCATTTTGTGTTTCAGTTGACCATGATTTTTCTTTGCCTTTTTTGCTTGTTCTCTGCATCCTTTTGAATTGATCATATTTTCCTTTCTTCCCCCTTTACTATTTTATATATCATATTTCATTTCTCTTAGCCTTAAAATTTTTTTATATACTTTGGTTTTTCTAGCGAAGTTTAAAGATAATCAGTATTTATCCTTCTCACATCAAGAACCTTACCTTTTCTTTTCTAAACTCCCCTTCCATTTCGATTCTCAGTATTATCTAGAATTGTAGCTTTAACTTGTTATTGTTCATATGTATTTCACATTCAATTTTTAAGTTCTCTGGGGCTGAACTGCTTGGGTTTGAATTCCACATCTGCTCTTTATTAGCTGAATAAACGTAGGTAAGTCATTTCACCTCTCCGTCCCTCGTTTTCCTCATCTGAAAAGGGAGGAAGTAATTGTACCATATAGGATTCAATAAAGTAATTCCATGATACCTATCACACAGAATTCAATTAGTTAATTCATATAAAGCATTTAGAATAGTTCTTGATGCATAATAAGCAGTAAGTAAATGTTGGTTATTAATATTATTAGGATTATTATTGCACTACTGGTTTATTTTTCTTCTTCCTCAAGTGCATATTTTAGTAGTTCTTTCAGTAGGGGTTATGGGTAGTATATGTTAAAATATGGAAATAGTTAAACTGGATTCAGTATCTAGATTCTTAGTTATTTTCCTTCAGTGTTGAAAATTGTACTTCATTTTCTTCTAATCTGTCAATCTGTTGGTTATTCTTTTGTAAGTAATTGGTATGTTCTGTCAATTGACTTTTTAGATTTTCTCTTTATCCTTGATATTCTGCAGTTTCTTTACAATGTGTGTGGTTGGTTCAAAATTTATTCTATTAACACTTGGAATTTTTCACTTACAGAATTCATGTCTAACTTGAGTTTCTGAAAAGTACAGGCACAGCTCGGAGATATTGTAAGTTTGGTTCCAGACCACTACAATAAAACGAACATCACAATAAAGCGACTTACATGAATTTTTTTGGTTTCCCAGTAAACATAAAAAGTTATGTTTATACTTACTTTATATACTGTACTGTAGTCTTTTAAGTGTGCAATAGCCTGTCTAAAAAAAATTTACATACCTTAATTAAAAAATTCTTTTTTGCTTAAAAATGCTAACCATCATCTGAGCCTTCAGTGAGTTGTGTTCTTCTTGCTGGTGGAGGGTCTTGTAAAAGATGCAGTATCTGAGAAGTGCAATAAAATGAAGTGTGCCTGTATTAGATGGTAATGTTTTCAAAGATTTTTTTCCTCCCTCCTCCTGATCTGTTAGACATAGATTAGTGTTTCTTCGTCTATCATCCATTTGTCTTAGCTTTTTTTTTTGTATTTTTTTTATTTCTCTGAACTGATTTCTGAGAGGTTTTCTTAATTTAATTCTTTAAATTACCATCTTTCTCTTTGATTCTAGCCCAGTATTTACTCCATCTTTTGGGTTTTCAATTTAATGACTGTTTCTTGTTGCTTAGAGTTTTGACTGGTTCTTTTTTATGTCTGCCTATCTTTTCATATCCACCTGTTTTGTTTCGTGAATACTATTCGTTTTTTTATCTCTTGGATATTTTAAATAGATTTATTTTAGGTCCTTTTTAGACTGCTGTTTTATCTCCATTTTGTCAGGTGTGAATCTCCACCTCCTCACAAAACTTTGTGGTTTTTTTTTTTTTTTTTTAACATTGATGGCATTGAACTACTTTGTGGACTTTGTGATTTTGTTTGAAAGCTCATACTGTATGAACATTTTCTTTTGGCACATTTCATCTGCCACCTGCACTCCTGGCTCCAGATCAGTGTGTAGTTTTGGCTGTCACACCGTGAAGAGAGAACGTAATTCCAGACCCCGACATCACATGACATGGACTCCAACTTACTTTAAAGAAGAATTAGACCAGTTTACAATATCATGTCACATTTCCAGTGTTAGCTATTTATTTCAGTGATTTGTGTTATTTAATAGGTGAAAAGTGTACCTCATCATTTCAGTTTGTGTTTCTCTTATTGATACTTAGGGTGAACACTTTTCCAGAATTGCCTCTGTAGTTCCTTAATAAATGATTGCTGGATTGAATTTCTTCTTCTTTTTTTAAAGTTTCTTCACTCAGTTTTTTTTTCTTTCTTTCTGTCTTTATTTTTTGTGAGGAAGATTAGCCCTGAGCTAACATCCAATGCCAGTCCTCCTCTTTTTTCTGAGGAAGATTGGCCCTGGGCTAACATCCGTGCCCATCTTCCTCCACTTTATATGGGACGCCGCCACAGCATGGCTTGACAAGCGGTGTGTCGATGTGCGCCTGGGATCCAAACCTGCGACCCCCAGGCTGCCAATGCGGGTTGTGCGCACTTAATCGCTAGGACACCGGGCCAGCCCCTGGATTGAATTTCTTTTGTTTTCTTTTCTTTGAAGTCACCCCTCAGTTTTCACCCAAGTGTAATTACCCAGCTTGATTATCGATATTATTCACTAAATAACTTCTGTCACTTTTCAGAAGTCTTATTTAGGCCTAGAGGATAAAGATATTTGGAAGACTCTGCTGTAGATTTTTCTTCCCTCTGGTGATTCAAATTCAGCTGTTTTCTAATATCTTCTATATCCACTGTGCTGTGAAGAAGTAAGATGCACAACTGTGATCCTGAACCGTTTCCTGAAACTGAGTTATAATTGGTATTCTGGTTATTACTGCTGTGTAACAAATATCTTATAGTATTTAGTGGTGTAAAACAACCATTTTGTAATGCTCACGGATTCTGTGGTCAGAATTCAGAATGGACACAGCAGGAAGGGGTTTGTCTCTGCTCCACAGACTCTGGGGCCTCAGCTGGGCAGACTTGAAGGCCTGTGGTGACTAAACAGTTGGATTCATTAGAAGACTTATTCAGTCACATGTCTGGCATGTCTCCCAGTTTGGGCTGGGACCTCAGCTGGCCCTGTCATCTGAAATGCCTCTCGTGGCCTTTCCGCGTGGTTGGTTGGGCTTCCTCACAGCATGGTGGCTGGGCTTCAGAACCGAGCGTCCAAGAGAGCAGGTCATAAGTACATGGCACTTCTGCAGTCTAGCTTTAGAAGTCACCTAACACCACTTCTGTGTTGTTTATAAGCCCACCCAGGCTCATGGAAAAGCCATATGGAGCTCCCCTCTCAATGGGAGAAGTGCCTGTCACATAGTGAGAAAAGCCCGTGTGTTGCCAGACATGTTGTGGCCCTCTGGAAAATATAGTCTGCCCAGTTGGGAAAGTAAATTATGTTTAATTCTTAGTAAGCCAGTAAAGGAATTTTTAAAACATATTTTAATGTATAATAAGAGTTGAAATAAGATTTTTAAATTTAATCCCCTCAAGTGAGGTTTAATACAAAGCTCTATTCCATAATGATTTTATGTATTAAGATTTTGTGATAATACTTTTTAAATTATAATCTTTTTATCCTATTTTCTATTAATAACACTTCCTAAGATAGCTTTTTATCACTGTTTTTATTTTGCAGGTAAAACTATAAGATGTAATATGGATTCACAGAGAGATTCACCTAAAAACAAATCTGAAAAGAAACAACAGTGCCTCCCTTTAAAAGATGTAAATAAGGTTGTATTTTTAAATGGTTATTAGATATAAAGTTTGTATAATGTTAATTTTAGAATATTCTCCTTTAAAATCTACCAGGAACAAAAAATATGTTTTCTATTAAAAAATCCTTGGCTATGATAGTTTCGTTCATGAAAAAATATAGTTTGCATGTTTGCTCTGTTTCAAAAGAACAAGATAACTCCAGCTCCCCTCTTGACGAGCCCTCGTTCTTGACGAGCCCTCGTTCTTGGCCTAGTGGCTTCTCTACACAATTGGGTATTTATTTTCATTTTAACCAGGGTGTGAAAATCTGGGATTAAGGGACACTCTAATAGATAAGATAAAGCCTAACCTGTCCCTCCAGTCCCTTTGACCTGACAGGTGAAAGTAATTACAGGACAGTTTAAATACTGGTTATCTGAAATTCCAGCTGCCTACAATTTAGACACTTCCATCTAGTGGTTATAGCAATGGCGTAGTCACCCAACTTTCCAGTTCTTTGTCTCTCCATATCTGTGTTGTCTGAAAATTATCTGAGATGGTTGTTTGTGAGAATAATTCCCATGGAAATTTGGTTCCTCAAGAATATATATCTTGCTGGCATACATATTCTTTCTGAAAAACATTTTTTTTTGCAGTGTGTTGAATCTTCAGTTTACTGGCCAACAAAAAGAGGTATAACCATATATGCTGACCCAGATATACCAGCAGCAAGGTATGATTTGAAAATTCAGTGTAATTGACTAGCACTTGAGTATAATACCATCTTATACTTTGTTCTATACCATTGATGATAGGAAAATATTTAATTAAAAAAATGAATGGCCCTGGAAATTTTAATTCAATATATATTAATTTAAAAGAAAAACGTTGTGACAACTGGTTAGCCACACGATTGACCAAAAACTGGTAGTGGCTATAGAGTTCCCTTGTTACCTTGTCAGGAAAGTTGTTTTGGTAAGGCAGGTTCAACAAAGTTGTCCTGATGTAAAGGATGGGTACATGTGGGCCAGATGGCAGTACAAGCTGGTAGAAAGCAAAGAATGGTTTGTTGAAGATGAGTATCAAAGGCTTTGACTGGCACTGTGTCCTTATCAAGATGCATATCAGGGATGTTAATGAAATCACAGAAAGGGTGGGATATTATACCACTTCACATATAGTGTAAGATCTTAAAATAGTATGTCTCCATTTCTCCCTGCTCCTGGACCTTGTGCTAGTGTGGTCATGCATTTTATTTGCACGTTTGTTATAAATGCTACAATCTATTATCATCTGTATTTAAACAGTCAGTTATCTTTTAGAGAGATTTAAATAAATAATAAGAAAAATATCTTATATATTTGCCTCTCTGTAGTTACCATCAGTGAAGAGCCATCCAGATTTCCATCTGGTATCACTTTCCTTCTACCTGAAGGACTTCCTTTACTATTGTGTTGTGGGTCTGCTGGTGATGAATTATTTCAGCTTTTGTATATATGAAAAATCATTTCAGCTTCATTTTTTTAAAAAAACATTTTTTCTAGGTACAGAATACTAGGTTGACAATTCTTTTTTCCCTATATTTTAAAGATACTGCTCCACTATCTGCTTACTTGCATTGTTCCCAATGTAAAATCTGCTGTCATCTTTTTCTTTGTGCCTCTGTTTGCAACATGTTTTTTTCCTCTGACTGCTTTTAAAATTTTCTGTTTATTACTGGTTTGAGCAGTTTAATTACTGCGTGCCTTACTGTAGTTTCTCTCATGTTTCTTATGCTTTGGGATTCATTAAGGTTCTTCATTTGTAGGTTTCTGTCTTTCATCAAATTTGGGATGTATTCAGCTGTTATTCTACAGATATTTTTTCTGCACTCATCTCTTTCTCCTCTCCTTTTGAGACTGATGAGACGAATGTCAAACCTTTTGATATTGTCCAAAAGGTCCAAGGCTCTGTTCATTTTTTCAACGTTTTTTCCTTGCTCTTCTTGAGATTAATAATTCTACTGATCTATCTTTAACTTAACTGACTATTCTGTCATCTCCATTTGCTATTGAATGGGTCCAGTGAATTGTTTATTTGATGTATTATATTTTTCAGTTTTAAAATTATTTGATTTTTTTAATAGTTTATATTTCTTTGAGAACTCTTTTTTCTTTATTGTGAAATTTATGTTGTACATTATTGTTTGTCAGTCACTGTATAAATGCATGCCTTCACCCCTTGTGGCTACCCCCTCACCCCCCTTGCCCCTGGTAAAATAGTTCTCTCTGTCCATGTGTTAGTTTATCTTCCACATATGAGTGAAATCATGTGGTGTTTGTCTTTCTCTTTCTGGCTTATTTCCCTTAACACTATTGTGTTAAGGTCCATCCGGGTCCATCCATGTTGTTGCAAATGGGACGATTTTGTGTTTTCTATGGCTGAGTAGTATTCCATTGTGTGTGTGTGTGTGTGTGTGTGTGTGTGTATATATATATACACACACACACGACATCTTCTTTATCCACTCATCAATCGAGGGATGCTTGGGTTGCTTCCACATCTTGGCCAAAGTGAATAATGCTGCAATGAGCATAGGGGTGCATAAGCCTCTTTGGATTGTTGATTTCAGGTTCATTGGGTAGATACCCAGTAGTGGGATAGCTGGATCATAAGGTATTTCTATTTTTAATTTTTTGAGGAATCTCCATACTGTTTTCCATAGAGGCTGCACCAGTTTGTATTCCCACTAACAGTGAATTAGGGTTCCCATTTCTCCACAACCTCTCCAACATTTGTTATTTTTTGTCTTGGTGATTATAGCCATTCTAATGGGTATAAGATGATATCTTAGTGGAGTTTTAATTTGCATTTTCCTGATGATTAGTGATGTTGCACATCTTTTGACGTGCCTATTGGCCATCTATATATCTTCTTTGAAGAAGTGTCTGTTCATTTCCTCTGTCCGTTTTTTGATCAACTTGTTTGTTTTTTTATTGTTCATTTGTGTGAGTTCTTTATATATTATGGAGATTAATCCCTTGTCAAATATATGGTTTCCAAATATTTTTTCCCAGCTGGTGGGTTGCCTGTTCATTTTGAACCTGGTGTCATTTGCCTTGTAGAAGCTCTTTAACCTCATGAAGTCCCACTTGTTTATTTTTTTTCTTTTGTTTCCCTTGTCTGAGTAGACGTGGAATTCGAAAAGATCCCTTTATGACTGGTGATGAATAGTGTGCTACCTATATTTTCCTCCAGGAGTTTTATAGTTTCAGGTCTCACCTTCACGTCTTTGATCCATTTTGAGTTAATTTTTGTGTATGGCGAAAGATGGTCTACTTTCATTCTTTTGCAAGTGGCTGTCCAGTTTTCCCAGCACCATTTGTTGAAGAGACTTTCCTTTCTCCATTGTATGTTCTTAACTCCTTTGTCGAAGATTGGCTGTCTTTAGATGTGTGGTTTTATTTCTGGGCTTTCAATTGTGTTCCATTGATCTGTGTGTCTGTTTTTGTACCAGTACCGTGCTGTTTTTATTATCATAGCTTTGTGTAGTATATTTTGAAGTAAGGGATTGTGATGCCTCCAACTTTGTTCTTTTTTCTCAGGATTCCTTTAGCTATTTGGGGTCTTTTTTTGCCCCATATGAATTTTAGTATTCTTTCTTCTATTTCCATGAAGAATGTCCTTGGGATTCTGATTAGGATTACATAGACTCCATAGATTGCTTTAGGTAATATGGACATTTTAACTATGTTTATTCTTCCAATCCACGTGGATGGAATATTTTTCCATTTGTTTATGTCATTATTGATTTCACTCAATAATGTCTTATAATTTTCATGGTATAGATCTTTCACCTCCTTGGTTGAATTTATTCTTAGATATTTTGTTCTTTTTGTTGTGATTGTAAATGCGATTGTCTTCTTGAGTTCTCTTTCTGTTAGTTCATTATTGGCATATAGAAATGCAACTGATTTCTGTAAGTTGATTTTGTACCCTGTAACTTTGCTGTAATTGTTGATTTTGTCTAATAGATTTCCAGTGGATTCTTTAAGGTTTCCTATATATAAGATCATGTCATCTGCAAACAGCGAGAATTTCACTTCTTCGTTGCCTATTTGGATTCCTTTTATTCCTTTTTCTTGCCTAATTGCTCTGGCCAGAACATCCAGTACTATGTTGAATAAGAGTGGTGAGAGTGGGCACCTTGGTCTTGTTCCTGTTTTCAGAGGAATGGCTTTCAGTTTTTCCTCATTGAGTATGACGTTTCTGTGGCTTTGTCATATATGGCCTTTATTATATTAAAGTACTTTCCTTCTGTAACCATTTTGTTGTGAGTTTTTTTCATAAATGGATGTTGGATCTTGTCAAATGCCTTCTCTGCATCTATTGAGATGATCATGTGGTTTTTATTCCTCATATTCTTAATGTAGTGTATTGCATTGATTGATGCAAATGTTGAACCGTCCCTGTGTCCCTGGTATAAATCCCACTTGATCATGGTGTATGATCTTTGTAATGTATTGCTGTATTTGGTTTGACAATATTTTGTTGAGGACTTTTGCATCTATATTCATCAAGAATATTGGTCTTTAGTTTTCCTTCTTAGTATTGTCCTTGTCTGGCTTTGGTATCAGGGTGATGTTGGCAGCATAGAATGTGTTGGGAAGTGTTCCCTCTTCCTCTATTTTTTGGAATAGTTTGAGAAGGATAGATATTAAATCTTCTTTGAATGTTTTGTAAAATTCTTCAGACAAGCCATCTGGTCCTGGACTTTATTTTTTGGGAGGTTTTTGATTACTGTTTTAGTCTCTTGTGACTGGTCTATTCAGATTCTCTATTTTTTCTTGATTCAGTTTTGGGAGGTTGTATGAGTCGAAGAATTTTTCCATTTCTTCTAGATTGTCCAATTTGTTGGCATATAGTTTTTCATAGTATTCTCTTATAATCCTTTGTATTTCTGTGGTATCGGTTGTAATTTCTCCTGTTTCATTTTTAATTTTATTTATTTGAGCCTTCTCTCTTTTTTTTCTTGGTGAGTCTGGCTAAGGGTTTGTCAATTTTGTGTATCTTCTCAAAGAACCAGCTCTTTGTTTCATTGATCCTTTCTACTGTTTTTTTTTCATTTTGATTTCATTTATTTCTGCTTTGATTTTTGGTATTTCCCTCCTTCTGCTGACTTTGGGCTTTGTTTGTTCTTTTTCTAATTCTGTTAGGTGTAGTTTGAGGTTGCTTATTTGGGCTTTTTCTTGTTTGTTAAGGTGGGCATGTATTGCTATGAGTTTCCCTCTTGGGACTACTTTTGCTGCACCCCATATGAGTTGGTATGGTATATTTTCATTTTCATTTGTCTCCAGATATGTTTTGATTTCTCCTTTAATTTCATCCATGATCCATTGCTTGTTAAGTAGCATGTTGTTGAGTCTCCACAGCTTTGTCACTTTCCCAGTTTTTTTCTTGTAGCTGATTTCTAGTTTCATGGCATTATGGTCTGAAAAGATGCTTGTTATGATTTCAATCTTCTTAAGTTTATAGAGACGTGCCTTGTTTCCCAGCATGCGGTCTGTCCTTGAGAATGTTCCATGCATGCTTGAGAAGAATGTGTAATCTGTTGTGTTTGTGTGGAGTGCTCTATGTATATCTATTAAGTCCATCTCATCAAGTTTTCCATTGTTTCCTTGTTGACTTTCTGTCTGGAGATCTATCCATTGAGGTAAGTGAGGTGTTAAGATCCCCTACTATTATTGTGTTGTTGTTAATATCTCCTTTTAGGTTTGTTAATAGTTGTTTTATGTACTTTGGTTCTCCTGTGTTGGGTGCATATATATTTATATGTGATACGTCTTCTTGATGGAGTGCCCTTTTTATCATTATATTTTGCCCCCCTCTTTGTCTCTCATTACCTGTTTTATCTTGGAGACAACTTTGTCTGATATAAGTATGGCAACACCTGCTTTCTTTTGTTTGCCGTTAGCTTGGAGTATTGTCTTCCATCCTTTCACTCTGAGCTTGTGTTTGTCTTTAGAGCTGAGATTTGTTTCCTGGAGGCAGCGTATTGTTGGGTCTTGTTTTTTAATCCATCCCACCACTCTGTGTCTTTTGGTTGGAGAGTTCAGTCCATTTACATTTAGGGTAATTATTGATATATGAGGGCTTAATGTTGCTATTTTTATCGCTCATTTTCCAGTTCTTTTGTTTCTTGTCCCATGTGTTTCAGACTACCAATTCAGTTTGGTAGTTCTGTATGGTGATTCTCTTAGTTTTCTCTTTATTTTTCGTGTGTGACTCTGTTCTGATTATTTGTTTAGTGGTTACCATGAGGTTTGTATAAAAAATCTCATGGGTGTGATAGTCCATTTTCTGATGGCCTCTTATTTCCTTAGACTAAGTTGATTCCCTCCCTCTCCTCTTCCCCTTCTAAGTTATTGTTGTCACTACTTAGTCCATCCTGTCTTGTGAGTTTTTGTTTAAAGTGCTGAAGTTATATTTATTTTTGGTGTTTTCCTTCCCTTGATCTTTTGTTTTATAATTAAGTGTTTGCTAATCTATTGTGATAGAGACCTGTAATTTTTCTGGTTTTGTCTACCTATTTTTCTCCTTGTACAAAACTTTGTATCCCCTTTCTCTTTTTTTTCCTCAGGCGTGAGGGCCTTCTTGAGAAATTCTTGTAGTGGGGATGTTGTGGCAATGAACTCCCTTAGCTTTTGTTCTTCAGGGATAGTTATGATTTCTCCATCATATCTGAAGGATATTTCTACTGAGTATTCTTGGCTGAAAGTATTTGTCATTCAGATTTTGAAAATATCGTTTTGCTCTCTCCTAGCCTATAAAGTTTCTGTCAAGAAATTCGCTGTGGGCCGGCCCTGAGGCTTAGTGGTTAAGTGCGCGTGCTCCGCTGCTGGCGGCCCGGGTTTGGATCCCGGGTGCACACCGATGCACTGCTTCTTCGGCCATGCTGAGGCTGCATCCCACATACAGCAACTAGAAGGATGTGCAGCTATGACGTACAACTATATACTGGGGCTTTGGGGGAAAAATA